CCGTGGCCTGTAGGGGAGGGGGTTGAGGAGATGCATGGGGGGGGGGCCCGGCTTGCGCCCCCCCCCCCCCGTGCCGTGCACATAGCCTGGTGCTGCCCCAGCTGCTCCTGCGTCTTCTGCCAGGCGGCCCCACTGCCCTGCTCACCCTGGGCCCCCCAGCTGCTGCCCCCCAATCTGCACCAGGGCTGAGTGGTCCCGGCTTTGCCAAGTCCTCAGTGCGTCGGGGCAGGGGAGGGCTTTGGGCAGCTCCTTCTGGACCCCAGTTGCCTCCCTCACTTTGTTCCTGGGGGCTGCTGGGAGGGGCCTGGGGGGGTGCCCCGGGGACTGCTGGGAAAGGTGGGAGGGGGGTGTACCCTGGGGGCTGCTGGGAAGGTCTGGGGTGGGGCACCTGTACCCTGAGGGATGCTGGGAAGAGTCTGGGGGTGTGTGTGTGCGCCCTGGGGGCTGCTGGGAAAGGACTTGGGGGACGGGGCTGGGGGAAGCGTGTGTGCCCCTGGGCCTAAAGGGAAGGATCTGTGGATAAAGGGTTACTTGGCCCATTTTATAGGATAGGAAACTGAGGCACGGAAAGGGCAGGTTAGTAGCCCAAAGCCACACAGAGAGTCAGTTCTAAAATGGGGCATGGAACCCAGGAGTCCTGGCTCCCAGCCCCCAGCTCTCACCACTAGCCCCCACTCCCCTCCCAGAGCCAGGGGTACAACCCAGGAGTCCTGGCTCCCAGCCCCCTGCTCTCACCACTAGCCCCCACTCCCCTCCCAGAGCCAGGGATACAACCCAGGAGTCCTGGCTCCCAGCCCCCTGCTCTCACTGCTAGCCCCCACTTCCCCTCCAGGAGCTAGGCATAGCGCAGGGCGCCCCCTGCTGGTGAAGGAGGATACAGTCCCGGGTAAGAAAGGTTCTGCTCTCACCTGGCCCGTCTCTCTCCCTCTCTGCCTGCAGCCGGGCCCCCTGACAGTGCCATGGAGCGCCTGCTGCTCTACGCCCTGGCCCTCTGCCTGGGCCCCTCCCACGCCCAGCTGTGCCCCCCCCGCTGCACGTGCCAGAACCTGTCCCCCTCGCTGGCTGTCCTGTGCGCCCGGGCCGGGCTGCTCTTCGTGCCCGGGCTCCTCGACCGGCGCACGGCCGAACTGCGGCTGACGGACAACTTCATCGCGGCCGTGCGGCGCCGGGACTTCGCCAACATGACGCGCCTGGTGCACCTGACCCTCTCCCGCAACGCCATCCGCCAGCTGGTGCCCTTCGCCTTCGCCGACCTGCGCGGCCTGCGGGCCCTCCACCTGGACGGCAACCGCCTGCCGGCCATCGGGGCCCAGCAGCTCCGGGGCCTGCCCAACCTGCGCCACCTCATCCTGGGCAACAACCAGCTACAGGCCGTGGCGCCCGGCGCCTTCGACGACTTCGCCGGCACCCTGGAGGACCTGGACCTGTCCTACAACAACCTGGCCCGGCTGCCCTGGGAGACCATCCGTCGCCTTAGCAACGTCAACTCCCTCAGCCTGGACCACAACCTCATCGCCCACGTGCCCCAAGGCGTCTTCGCCGACCTGCACAAGCTGGCCCGGCTGGACATGACCTCCAACCGGCTGAAGAAGATCCCCCCGGACCCGCTTTTCCTCCGCCTGCCCGTCTATGCCAAGTCGAAGGGCTCGCCCCTCTCCTCCCTGGTGCTCAGCTTCGGGGGTAACCCCTTGCACTGCAACTGCGAGCTGCTGTGGCTCCGGCGCCTGGCGCGCGAGGACGACCTGGAGACCTGCGCCTCGCCGCCCGAGCTCCTGGGCAAGTACTTCTGGAGTGTCCCCGAGGAGGAGTTTGTCTGCCAGCTGCCCGTCATCACCCACCACACGGGCCGGCTGGCGGTGACGGAGGGCCAGGCGGCCACCTTGCGCTGCCACGGGGCGGGCGACCCCGAGCCAGCGGTGCACTGGCTCTCTCCGGAGGGGAAGCTGGTGGCCAACAGCTCCCGGACGCTGGCCTACGAGAACGGCAGCCTGGAGATCCTGGTGGCCGCCGTCCAGGACGCCGGCGCCTTCACCTGTGTGGCTTCCAACGCTGCTGGTGAGGCCACCGCCTCCGTGGAGCTGCAGGTCAGCCCCTTGCCCCAGCTCGCCGACGGCACCCGCCCCCCAGCGCCCGGGCCCTCCGATATCCTCACGTCGGCCAAGGCGGGCGCCAACGGGAGCGCTGCCCCGCGAGACGGGGGGGTCCTGGCCTCCGAGCTCTCGGCGTCCTCCGCCCTCATTCGCTGGGTCCCGCCGCGGCCCGGGCCTGGCGTCCGCATGTACCAGGTCCAGTACAACAGCTCCTCCGACGAGACCCTGGTGTACAGGTGAGCCCGTGCCGCTGGGCGGGCGGTGCCGGGCTCGGGTCGGGGTGGGGGGGGGCGGTCTGAGTGGTTCTGGCCTGGGTCGGCCAATGGGTCTCGCCTGGGTGGCTCTGGG